GTAGCAACGTGTGGCAAAGAAATCAGATGCTGCATGCCACCAGAAAGAATCGCGTCTGGGACTTGAAGTTATTCACCTTAAAACAAGTGGTCATCTGAGTGTCAGCTAAGTCCGCACGAAAGGAGCGCACGAGCCCGTGATCCAAGGATCATAAGTAATAAATCCAAGATCAGAAGAGAGAATTATATCAGAGCTTAAAATTTGAGCACCCAGTTTTCAGAAGGCTCAAACACAAAATACATTTCCTCACGCAAACTAAGCCTCCATTAAAATCCCTTAGACCAGTGGCCAGGACTGCGGATGGTCTCGCCCTCAGACAAAAATGCCTTGCAAAGTGGATTACTGCAATACAGTTAGGTTGAAATTTAATATATATCATTTGTTTTCCTTTTTAGCCAATTTTTAATTTGTTCAAGTTTCTATTATCTTCTGATTTATCTTGGATTGAGGTTTCGCTATACTTCTTTGAGGTCGTTGTTGGGTTTTTTGGTATGACTTTTAAAATATGATATGCAAGATAGTTAAATCTTTAAAGGCAGTAACTAGACTAACAGTTCCTTAGGGTTATGGTAGGGGAGGTCCAGTGAGGGGTGGGGTGGGGTGTAAATGGGGAGCTAATAATAATGCATACAAGAATGAAGAAACTGTTCTAAAAATTATTATGGTGATGACTGCACAGCTCTTTCTAATATATTTAAACTACTAAATTGTATGATATGTGAACTATATGTCAATTAAGCTGCTAAAAATAAAATAAAATAATGGCCAGGTTCACTTTACACCGTTTCAGCTTACGGACAGTTTCATTGGGACAGTCGGGGAAAGCCTGTACTCGGACTCTTGAAACTTAGAAGAGAAATCCATTAAACCAAGTTATAAAATGCACCTTTCCAATTGACCTTAATGCAACTTAATTTTAATGTTCCCCCAAGGCAAGTTTTTGCGGGGCTTTTTTGTGGGGGGGGGGGTCAGAAAATAAGAAGACTATTCTCATAACCTCCCAGTTTTTATTATTAAAATAATAGTGGAGAACTCAAACACTGAAATATTTAAGAGTAACTACAAAAAAAGAGTAACAAATTGTCATTTAAAAAGGTCCTTCTTTAGACAAACGGTAGCTACTAGAAGACATGTAAAGATACATAAAACACAAATTGGACATGCTGCATTCACTAATCAATATTCTTCGGTGGGGGGGTTGGGGATCACCCCTGTGATTCACTAACAGTCTGACGTTTCATAAATGTTCTTACATAAAAAATGTGTGGGGCACAAGTCAGAGCAAAGGGAACAAAGATAAACTGAAACCCAGTATATCCAGAGAAGAATTTTAAATAGGCTTCCAGCCAACGAGATTTTGAAATAAAATCTTCAAGATTTTATTCGTCATTTTTAGGCATTCTGAAAACTACGCTCCCCAGAAACAAAGACCCCAGCTGAGGGCGGGGAGTGGAGCACCCATGGCAATATCTTTATAGACTGTTCATATTTCACTCACTATAATTAGCCAGAGTAGCAATCTTTTCAAATAAAACTATCTGTTGCTCTGGAGGCAAAGAGCCAACAAAAAACCACACTGCTGCTCCTTCACGCAGCAAATTTCAGCAATTTCACAAACATAAAATTTCTAATAACTCTTAACATGTACAAAGATGTTAATACTCTATAGCTTAAAAATAAACACGTCTTCTTTAGGTTGTTTACTGGACTCTAGAAACAAAAGAAAGTATATAATTTCTCCAATAGTCCATCATCTTAAAAAAAACCTACACATTTCTTTGACTATATTAATCCTATCTCTACCTTTAAAAAGGCTGAAATACCTTTCACTTGGTGAGATTATATCATGTTCTCTTGAAAGCAAATGACTAAGAACCGAGACTCTTGAAGAAATTGTAAAGAGCAGCAAAGAAATCAAACGTGTTTTATTGGGGAGCAAGGTGCCTAAGCAAGACCATTTGTTGTCTTATCTCTTGTACCCACTCTCAATTACAACAGCCAATTGACTTACCATCGTTTATGGATCGCTTTCCACCGCAGAGCAGCTGGTGGCCCCCAGCTGTCCTTAGCTGCGTGGTTTTATGAGTCACTGCCAGGAAGTGGTCATGACCCCTACTCGATGCTTCTCCCTTCTAAGCGCAAGGGAATGAGATGCATTCCAGACAAGGAAATCAGGTGACTGGTGGAAACACTGCTGTTTCAACACAATCCCTTCTCCTGTGTCATGCCATTCCAAACCCTGGTGTGAATGAATGCTTCAATAATGGATACAAAATGGGACGAATCTTTTTTCAATCCTCTATATCTAATAATCCTCATATGCTTGTACTAGAAAGTGCCGTAACCCACCAATTTAAAATTACTTGTATACTCACAGTAAGATTTCCAAACTGGAGGTCTATATTCATCCGTATCTGAAAGGGAAATAAGAAAAAGAAAAGCATTAAGTTAGCATTAATAAATCCTTAGGATTTTAAGTAAGATTATTTTCATCATTAATTCACTTGATATATATGTTTGAGATCTTTGTGACCTAGGTATTAAAGGACAATCAACAATGTATTGTATTGGTCGAGTAAATTTTGGAGTACAGTTGTACACAGATGTTCAAAGAAAGTCTTGCTTTTCCAGTGCTTATCCCTGGGGGAGAACATCGTGTGAAGTAGAGGGGCAGGGAAAACGAGGAAGACTCTTGGCATGAGGCACAGACATAGTGGTTGAAACAGGCTCAAACATAGTTGTGAGGATGGCGCAGGACCGGACGGCGTTTCCTTCTGCCTCACACAGGGCCCTGCACGATGAGTTAGCGCCAACTCGGTGGCACTTAAGAACAACACCATCATCGGATAGAAATCACCAAGATTAATTTTACAGCTTATTTTCATTTCTTATATTAGTAACTGAGGTTGGAACATAGTCAATAGTCTGCTTCAGATCCTTGAACTTTTTAGTTTTTAATCAAATTGACCAGATAACAATTGCAATCCCCAGAAATGTATTTCTTTATTTTCTACTATTACATATAGGGGACTCCAATGTAACTCATTTCACCAATAACAGAAGACGAGAGACTCAAAGTGCAGAACTTAGGCAATGAGTTCAATGACTAAGATAAGCAAGTCTCAACCCCTCCACGAGGAGACCAGTTTCCCAGGACTCCTGGGTCTTCTGGGAAGCAAGACAAATTACTCTTTTTTTTTTTTTTAAATCTCTGAGGTCCAATGTTAAGGAGTTCTGTTATAGGAGAATTTAGAACCCTAAACCAAATCTCACTGGCCAAGAGAGGTCAAGGCACCCCTAAAAAATGACCTTGAAGAAGGACCAACTGAAACAGGTGAGCTAGGAGCACAAAGGGGCTTAAGAGTTTAGCAGGAGAACAGATCTGGACTTCATGGCAATGTCTCAGCCTCTTTGCCACTCAAAATTGTGGTGTCTTAAGAGGGAGAACTAAAAAATACTGCAACCTTGACCTTCCACTGGTATTACTGCTGTGGCCTGGGACACATTCTGAGCAGAAATGACATGCTAGCAGCAGTTGGGGCTGGTCTACAACACTGTCAGAATGATAAAAAGAAGCAAGAGAAATCGTTTGAGTACCAAACCAGAGGTTGGCTGTCAACCAAACCATCAGTTGCTCATATGTAAGTTCAGATTAAAACGAAAGAAATTAAAACAAGTCCACAAGAGCCAAAATATGACCTTGAGTATATCCCACCTGAATCTCGAGAACATCTCAAGAACAGATTTGATGCCTTAAAGATTAATGACGTCACACAGCGTAAGACATGACAAAATAGTAATAATTCATAAATTATCAAAGGTTCATGGGAGGGGGTTAGGGAAGGGGCAAAATGAGAAGCTGATACCAAGGGCTCAAGTAGAAGGAAATGTTTTGAGAATGATGATGGGGTGTACAAATGTGTTTGACCCAATGGATGGATGGATGGATTGAGTTGTATGAGCCCCCAATAAAATGATTTTTAAAAAAAAGATTAATGACAATACTAATGACTGAAGGGCTGTGGGAAGACATCAAGAACATCACTTATGAAGAAAGCAAAAGGCAAGGAAAAAAAAGTATCAAAGTGGATGTCAGAAAAGACTCTGAAAGTTGCTCTTAATCATGGAGTGGCTGAGGCAAATGGAAGAATGGATGAAGTCAAAGAGCCGAATAGAAAAATGTCAAAGGGCAGCTTGAGAAGATAAAGTCAAATATTGTTATGAAACATGCAAAGATCTAGAATTAGAAAACCAAAAAAGAACATGTTCAGAATATCTGAAAATGAAAGAACTCAAGAAAAATTCTAGCCTCGAGCTGCAAAATGGACAAAATATTAAAGGATGCAGGAAGCATCAAGCAAAGATGGAAAGAGTACAGTCACTCTACCAAAAAGAACTATTCAACATTTCACCATTTCAGGTGGTTCCACGTGCGCAAAAAAACCAATGGTAATGAAGGAAGAAGTTCAAATTGCACTGAGAGCATTAGCCAAAGGTAAGGCTCCAGGAATTGATAGAACCCCAATTGAAATGTTTCAACAAGTTGATGAAGGGCTAGAAGCACCCTCATCTATGCCAAGAAACTTGGCCAACTGACTGGAAGAGATCCATTTTTGTACCTATTCCAAAGAAAGGTGGCCCAACAGAATGTGCGCATTACAGAACAATTACATACACAGTAAATGCAAGTGGAAGTTTGCTGCAGTTGCACCAGAATGTTGCCGGACCAGGCAGTCTTTTGTTCTGCTGTACAAATAGTCACTATGGGTTGGAACCGACTTTGGGAAGCCTCTCAGGGCCCAAACCTGGATCATTTAGGGGAGGCAGGGAGACCACCTAAAATGATCCTAATTTCCTTCTAATTGGGGCGCTGGTCAACAGGTCGGGGAAAACAGAAGCAGCAACATATTTGGCCCTAGAATTACATCGGACAAGTCAACGAGTCAAGCCCGTTTCTTGTGCATATCTTTGACTAAGCAGTTTTTTCCCTAAATAACTATCTTAATAATTGATACTTGAAATTTAAGAGTGGTTGAAACGACTAATACAGAAGGACATCACTGCACTATTATATTTACGACTGCAAACAGGGTTCAACTTCAATCTCCAAGGAATGGAAACCAGTATATTTGGTTTGATTTGGTTTGAAGGCCGCAGGACTAGAGCAGAAGGATTCTACTTTTTAGTCTGTTAGAAAGTCGGGTCTCACTTAAATAGTTTAGGTCTTTGAAAACAGTGGTTCTCCGATTATTTTGGCCTCAGATATCTGGAGTCTAAAGCGTTTTATATTTCTACCAATATTAACTATATTAGAAAGTAAAACAGAAATGTTAATAGTGTTTATGTGTTAGGTCATTTAAAAATAATAACAAACCCATTATGTTTGACATACATTTTGATGAAGTAAACCATGTTTTCCAAAGCAAAACATTTTGTTTCATATTCTTCAGATGGCTTTCCTGTCGGCCTTCACAGAAGATAGCTGAATTCTCTTTGCTTCCATTCTCAAACTGTTATGAATCACATGCTATGTGATTTCTACAAGACTTGCGAGAAAATGAGAGCAAAAAGGCAAACGATGTCTCAGCGATATCATGAAAATAGTTCTAAATTTTTGAGCTTAAGGAAAGTCTGAAAAAACCTTTGAGACCTCCAGGTGTTCACGGCCCACACTTGAAGAACCACTGTCTCAGACACGCTTCATTAGGTACGTCCACCCTTGGCAGGGTGGAGAGAGATGCATTTCATACAATAGAAGACATTCTGAAAATTAATTAGGGAGAGAAAGAGGAAGTCTTGTGTTCTTTTAGCACACCACAACCGCTTGTTCAGAGGCAATTATTAAGGGCCATTAAGCACCGAATATCTGTGTCTGGCCTTCCGGGGGAAGTCAAACACCCTAACCACTTCTTTTTGATTCTATCAGCAAACCCAACTAGACCCAGCCTTATCAATGTGCTGGGCTTCCGTCAGGAGAGTGAGAGCCAGGCAGCCTGTGACGCAGGGACAGCTCATCAGCTGCTGAAAATAATCTGAGCATGGTATAGATCAGTGTTTAAATTAAGTACATGCCCACAAAAATCCATAAAAAGATTTTTCTCCGCTGCTGTAAATGTCAGAAACACTTCTCATATCTAACACAAAAGACAATTAATTTTGTGAAAAATATGAAAGTTCCGCTGAAGTTTTAAAATAACCAGAAAGTTTTATTCATTTAATAAACACGAGGGGGCTTCCAAAAGTGAGTGGTAAGATTCCATTATCTTCGCACTCCATCTTCCCCAAGCTCCTGAGGCCCCTTCGTATGTGGCTCAGATAGGTAAGCGCTGGGCTACTAACCAAACCGGTGGCAATATTGAGCCCACTCAAAGAGGCGCTATGTAAAATGCCATGGCGATCTGGTTCCAAAAAGCCACAGGCATGACTGCCCTGCAGAAGGTGGTTCGACTCTGAACCACGGCTGGGATCCGTAGGGACTGATCCAACAGCACGCTGTGAGGATGGCATTTACAAATTGGGCCCATGGGTGGTTGATGCCCTCAAAGGCAGTAGCAAATGTGATATGGCTATAATATACAAACAAAATCATATAAGAGCAGGACACTGTTTGCAAACCGTCATTGTGACAGAATGCCTGGCCAAGAGTGGGGATCCAAGAAGTACTGTTGGTGTGATGGAAGAATAGATGAAAAGGGGAACTTATTTTGGCCAATGTGGAGAAAAACAAATGACGGTCATTCCAACTGACAAGGGATTTGAAGGAGGGCGGCATTTTTCAAGTGAAGGGGCTAGGGAAAAGGAAGGGGATAAGAACACTCTAAACCACTGGTTCTCCACCTTCCTAATGCCGTGACCCTCATGTTGTGGTGAACCCCCAACCATAAAATGATCTCCGTTGCTACTTCATCACTATAATTTTGCTACTGTTACGAATCGGGCGACCCCTGTCAAAGGGTCGTTTGACCCCCAAAGGGGTCACGACCCACAGGTTGAGAACCGCTGCTCTAAACAAAGGGACACAGTGAATAAGGACACAGACATGAAGTCCAATGGCGTAGTTGAGGATTAGCACATCATGCAGAGTGGCTGAAATAAAACAGGCTGAGGAAACGGAGAGCTGTGGACTGGCTGTAATCCAGGCTGGGTGGTGTGAGAGTCTGCGTGAGCAATGCACCATGGGTTTTCGTCTGCTTTGTTCACATGAAGGAGTTCCACAAAGTTCACAGAAAAGTGGAATTCCACGTTAATGGGATTTTCCACTCTTTGCGGACCCCGTGTACTCCCAAAATGCATAGTGCTTTCCTTATGAACATGTTTTCCCCTCCCTTGGCTACATCAAGGACAAAAATATTAGCTAAATCCCTGGTTTCCAGCACATTAAAGACAAGCATTAATTTTTGGTTGAGTGAGTGAGTGAATAA